TGCCAATATTTAATTAGCGATAAAGTTGCCTTAATCCTTATAGGAATTCTACCAATTTCGCCTCTTATGCCAATCAATGGTGTTACTTTACTAACACCTAAAATAAACCGGTAAAAGTGGTTGCATGCTTGCTCCAAGTAATTGTTTTCATTTGTAATTTCATTGGCCCAAATCTCTATAATGTAAGAAGCCAGATGACCATCTAAAAATTGAATCACTGAACCACAACATGTGCATATGTCCCAGATACATGAAACGATTCGGCACACAGAGTTCTGAAATATGATTACAGGCAGACGAAGACTTCATTCAAATCAAAACTTACAAACAATGCAAGTCTACTGGCAGGAGATCTAAAATTATTTATAAAAACAGAAAGAACATATAGTGTTACCTGAAGATGAAGTAGGGACTGCTCAAGACTTGGTACTGTCAACAGCAGACAACCAGACTGTCTCACAGTCTCATAAAGAAATCTCCAAATTCTGCAATAAAGAGAAGACAACTGGTTAATCAGAAATTATTCCTATTATTGTTTCCTGATTAGCCATTATGTTCCTAATTTCTTTCAAATTTATATGATGAATATTTTACTAATATTACTGCAGGTTAGTTGAGTTTAGCAGCAATGCATGATGGGATTATTAAAATGAGTAAATGACACTAAATGACTAATTTAGTTGATAAAAGGTGGAATGCAAACGCCATTAAACTTTACGATTTGATTTTTTACCAAGTTTCTCTTTAACTAAGTTTTGTCAATAACACAGCATTGTCCTGTAGTGAACTAATACTAGTGAGAGTGACATATTGATATAAGAATGAAAAGTACATGCTACTGCTCTTCAACAATGACATACTGATACAAAAACAGCGCCCTCTGTGTTAAATGTTGCCTAACAATTTTAATCACTCAGCTCACTCACTAACTCACTCACTTTTGTGGGTTATACTTACTTATTTTGGACTTCTGTTGAGGCAAAGAACTCAAACACATTGTTCAAAATAATGACATTGGCTGAAAAATTTAAAAATAACCAGCAAAGTCAGCAAAATCAATATTGCATAAAGCTACTTGAATAAAATTAACACTTAACTATAGTAACTATACTTACTCTTACCGGTATCTCTATAAATTTTTTTGAGTGTTATAGTTTTTTATTTAGGTGATAGTTTAAGAGTAAAAAAGAGAATACAGTCACAAACTCATAGTAACTGGTTTATATGATAACAAATTGTGATGTACTAGGATGATAACTGTTGTATATATGACATAATATTATAAAAGTTAATTGCAACATGTGTGTGTGTGTGACATTAAAAACTGTATATATTGCATGCTGTCCATAACATACTGATGAATTATAAAACATACCACCAGATAATTTATTAGGTAATGTCTACAACCTGGTATTCATATCAGATGACATCAAATGTAACAATATGTTTTTGTTGAATGTGTAATATGTATGTGTCAGTCAAAAATTATTAAATCTTATCTGTTATCAATTAAATATGCATAATTACACGCACCTTGTTGCAGTAGTGTGTGTTGTGTAACGACATCTGCACAAATGATCTGTATTAAAATGAAGAAACATTTACTAAACCTCAAAACCTAACACTATGAAAGATGAATCACAAAAAGTATAGTGATGTACACACAGTGTATATAGAGTAGAAACATGTACAGAAGTATAGACTAAATGATAAGACATATATATGAATGTTTACCTGAATCCTTGACTGCATCTGATATGTTGCAATCATTTCTTGTTGTAATTTGCATAGATCTGAATTAATTTCTATGCCTATCAGTTTGGAAGCATCACTGTAAAAATACCCCTAAAGATGAGTAAACATTGTGGGTGTTAGCCTTATAGATGAGTAAACATTGTGGGTGTTAGCGATAAGAGATGGGTAACCATTGTTGGTGTTAGCGATAAGAGATGAGTAAACATTGTGGTGTTAGCGATAAGAGATGAGTAAACATTGTGGGTGTTAGCCCTATGGGATATGTAAACATTGTGGGTGTTAGTGATAAGAGACGAGTAAACATTGTGGATGTTAGCAATAAGAGATGAGTAAACATTGTGGTGTTAGCGATAAGAGATGAGAAAACACTGTTGGTGTTCCCATATAGAGATGAGTAAACATTGTGGGTTAGCCTTAGAAGATTTGTGAACATTGTGGGTTAGCCTTAGAAGATTTGTGAACATTGTGGGTTAGCCTTAGAAGATTTGTAAACATTGTGGGTGTTAGCCTTAAAGATGAGTAAACATTGTGGGTGTTAGCCAGAAGAGATGAGTAAACATTGTGGGTGTTAGCGATAAGAGATGAGAAAACACTGTTGGTGTTCCCATATAGAGATGAGTAAACATTGTGGGTTAGCCTTAGAAGATTTGTAAACATTGTGGGTGTTAGCCTTAAAGATGAGTAAACATTGTGGGTGTTAGCCATAAGAGATGAGTAAACATTGTGGGTGTTAGCGATAAGAGATGAGTAAACATTGTAGGTGTTAGCCATAAGAGATGAGTAAAAATAAGGCAGAGAGTTCTTTAACCCGCTTATTCACATTTTTCATACCCACTCCGGTCAGTCAAAATGACTATTTTGAACTGTAGGCATTAATCAGCGATTCTGCCAATGATGGAGAGATAGAATCTCCAAACTGTACTACACCGACGCAATCTGTGTACAACAGGGATACATGTATGTGGCCATGGGTTCGGCAGTTGCGAGGTGTGGGTGCTCTATTCTCTCATGAGGTGAGTTTCCCCAAGGCCTGCGGTAGTCACTAAGTTGTGACCTGGTCACTGGCTGAACACATGCCTATCCCCCCGGTCACAGAGGTAAGCATCAAACATGCTTCCCCCGCTGTCGGGGTGGACGACCGCCCAAAGAGGGTGAGGAGCCACTACCTGGTCGCCTGGTCTAGGAAGCTGGTGCGTTCTGCCTCCGAGGTCTCAGAGTCCTGGGCGCACACAATAATGCACTCAAGCAACTCTGCCCTCAGGACGTGATGGATCGTCTCAGATTAAGCTGGCGAGAATGCCCATGGAACGCGGCCGTCCCTCTTTACATTGTGGGTGTTAGCCCTAAGAGATGGGTAAACATTGTGGGTGTTAGCCCTAAGAGATGGGTAAACATTGTGGGTGTTAGCCCTAAGAGATAGGTAAACATTGTGGGTGTTAGCCCTAAGAGATAGGTAAACATTGTGGGTGTTAGCCCTAAGAGATGGGTAAACATTGTGGGTGTTAGCCCTAAGAGATAGGTAAACATTGTGGGTGTTAGCCCTAAGAGATGGGTAAACATTGTGG